TAATAATTTTCTCTCACCTAGCCACATGATTGCATCATTTGTTGGTTCCGACTGTCTCACAGCAAATCCGATGAGAAATCCAATGATTACACCAAGTAGAGTGAAAATAATTAGGCGATTTTCATTCAAGTACCGAAGACAGACTTTACTTTTTTTCGTCTTTGGATTCTTCATTGTTCTACGGGTGTCCTTTTTAATCCTGGACGAAGACAGTGGAATTCGGTAAATGTTTGAGCTTGTACTCAGACCGTCTAACGCCATATCCAGTCAGTGTGAGTTTTGTTGTGGTAGGGCAGACGCGCACTGAAGAAAGCGAGATACAGAGAGGGGGTGGTGAGAGGAAGGAAGAAAACAAGAGAGGGGGGGGGAATCGGAACTGGAGGCGTGTTCAGAATAAGTGCGTTCATTTAAAACCGGCTTCCACGGCTCGACGTGTAACAAGTGAACATCAGCTTTGCCTTTATTATTATTATTATTATTATTATTATTATTATTATTATTTGATTTCCGTTTTATTCTCATTTCCCAAGTCCCAACCAGCGACCTAAGATCAGGACATTTTCTACTGCACATTTTTTTAAATTTAAATTAAAAATGAAATTAAAATTAAAATTACATTATCAATGATGAACTGTTCGGGTTTATGATTAACCGTTATCTTCTCCATATATCCGCATAAATTGTGTCTCTTACTCTGTAACTCTTTACCTCGAGTGGCTCTTGGGCCTTGTGCAACGTGAACATTATTGTAAAAAAAAACAAGAGTAAACACATTTTACATAGATAAAGCCCTTCGTAAGGTGTGATCTGTACTTGTGGGAACAATTTTATTTCTTTAAGTCACGGGTTACAAGGGATTACTTCAGTGAGTCTATTTAATATCTTAATGTTTTTTTTTTTTTTTTTTTTTTTTGTATCGAACAACAAAATCGAGTAAGGTATTTGCTAAAAATCCTGTTACCATAAATAAAATAACATCGTCTACGAATTGTTTTTAAATTATTATTGAGATAAATGTTCGTAAAACGAGGATTTCGCTAGTCAAATAAAAATTAGTTAGTATTTCGTTTCTGAGATGAATAATTGTCAATAAAAAATAACCTTAAGGGGAACAATTGAAAAATATCTGATGATACATTGCTCTTAGTAGGACGAAAAATAAGCAGACCCTGAAATTACAGATTGAATCTACGGACTCTCAAGGATTACTCAGACCTTCCAAAGTTTACACAAAAAATATGGAAACTTTCGCAGTAAACGTAATTTTAGTTGTAAATATGTAACATTTATGAGGACAAAATACGGATCTCTTTCCTTAGGTGTTTATAAATTGTATATTGTTCAATTATTAACATTAACAAGGAACTATTTTAAATTACAAAATTGTACTTGGATTAAACAAAAATTACTTACAATATAATACATATTACTTATAATATATACCGTCTTGCTGTCAATTTTGACGGCACAAGTTAAAAAATAAAAGCAACGATTTAAACTCAAAAATATCATTTAACTAGTTTGTAATTAATGTCTTACTTAAGACATCATAAAAAATAAAGGCTTTAAATAAAGCTTTACCGGAGATAGAGAATGACTTGAATAAAACATAATTTACTAATTGTCAATATTCTAGTATTATTTCGAACTGTTCATCTCATCTTGGTTGGTATAGATGTTATTATAGATACAACATTTCGATCAAATACACTCTGGTCATCATCAGGTGTCCATTGATTGGCTGATATAAGATATCTGTTGATTATTTTAATATTTTGTCTCTGTGATGTCAATTATTGCTCAATCCAGTTGAATTGGTGATATACTACCTGATCCGAGGATTGAACTCATGACCATTATATAACACTAACACATGTATAACCAACTCTTATATACACAATGCCAATTCACTCCGCCAAGATGCAATGGTTAACAAATCTGTCTCACTAGATCAATTACGACTGAGTAGTGAGTTCGATCCTCACTGTGTGCGCCACGCTTTCGGCCTTATGCCACATCTAAGCTACGCTTTGTAAATCGCTACATGCACTATACCACCGTCCTGAATAACCAACTCTTATATCCACTACGCCACCGTTCTATAAGACAGTGGTCACTATCAGCGAAAAATACAGAGAGGACCCACGGTGAGAGTTACGAAAGGGACACGCCCGATAGACCGTTCATCTGCCCCCTCGCCTCGCTCCAACTCTGATTCGCTCGTCTATAGCAGCAGATTACAACCAGATAATAAAATATGCTTACTGCTACAAAAGATTCCCTGGTTTTAATTTGGGGATGATGATTTGACTGAGGCGTTATCTTTAAGCTACAAGCGTTTAACTGAAAATAGCTGCATCTTGAGATCGAACCTGGCACCTGGTCTGAACTGCAACGATACACTCTTTACTAAAGATTTAGAACTTCGAATGATACAGAGATTTTCTAAGCGTATCTTAGATTAGGCACAGGACCGAAAGTGTGGAAGCAAGTGCGGGTCGAACTCATTACTGAGTAGTAATTGATCTAGCGAGACAAATTTGTTAACCATTACACCGCGATGAAGTGTCCAAGTTCACATGATTTGAATTTTTTATTTTTCGTTTTTATTTTTTATTTGAAATGTTAAAAGTCCTGTTGATAAACTCGAAAAAGTCGGTACCCCCGGGAGATCCAGTTCAGGCGCACATAATTAAAACCATGACAGCTGTAGGATATGCTTATAAATTTCAATCACATGTTCGTAATTTCTTTCTAAATTTCTGACATGAGGACTTATCATAAATGGCACTAGTTACTTGCAAAAGATATTTTTTTATTCAATTCACCCCAAGCAAGGCAATAATGCCACGAAGACACAAAGGACAATTGGGAGTGAAAGAGAAAGAAAAGACATTAGAAGGAACCAGAAATCCAGTCCTAAACAGGAAACAAAAAATAAACGCCTATTTCTTTTCAAATGACCAGGGAGGAGTATGAACTGGGCGATAGTTCACGTTCTTATTTTTAGTACTGCTCAGTTATTGCTCGCCCCAATTCCATTGAGTCCAAGTCCACACTGCCCAGTTCAGGGATTGAACTAACAATAACTATAGCCTCAAATTCACAAACCAATGCTTTAACTCACTAGCTTTATTGTGCCATGTTTGTTGTCATTATCAGGGGTGAGGGAATATGGAAGAGGGTCTAAAAGGAATAGGGACGAAACAGGAATTGGTTTATCGGGTCCACGGTAGGCACCTCGGTATGGTGTAATGGTTAGTAAGCTTGTCTGGCTGAGTAGTGAGTTCGATCCTCACTGGGCGCTCCATACTTTTGCCCTTGTGCCACATGTAAGCAGCGCTTAGAAAAGCACTGGGGCACCTCGGGGCGGTGTAATGGTTAGTAAGCTTGTCTCGCTAGAACAAATACGACTGAGTAGTGAGTTCGATCCTCACTGGGTGCCCCATACTTTCGGCCTTGTGCCACATCTGAACTAAGCTTGAAAAATCTCTATCTTTTTTGGATTTTAATTAAATTGCAGAGGCACCAGACCAGATGTGGCAGCAATATTCAAAGTGATGAAACTGTTAAGGTTACATTACAACTGTAAAATGATGAGACCTAGCCGCCAATCTAGTACTGCACTTAAATTCATAAAGACCAGAGAGGAAATTTTATCAGAACAATTACAGTGAAAGTATTTATAGAAAAGGTACAGGGAAGCTACATTAGGGCGGTGGGAAAGTGACTGAAGCTGAGATGCCAGGTCCGGACCAATAATATTGCATAATAATAATAATATTTAATAATAACTTTATTTACATTAGTAAATGTTTTTTTTAGGTTCTCTTTGAATTCACTCTTCGCTACCGTAATTATTAGCACCGTGCATGTGTTTATTAATTTCATTTAGTGAACTGTTTCAAATTGTTCTCTTTCAACAGACAAAAAACAAAAGTTTAAAACAAAAAGAGAGATTAATTTGTTTTTTTACGGTTTAGCAACCCTTTTCAACCGAAACATATTTGGATTGTAAGAATAATTCTTTTCTTTTGCGAACGAATATTGCCTTACAAAGTTTTGTGTGTGTGTGTGTAGTTGATTTTTATAAATACGTCTTACTATTTACTTTATACATGGGGGGGGGGCAGACGATAGTCATATCTTTCAGAAAGGTATTTGTGTGTTAATGAATGCAATGAACGCGACTAGAATTCGACCTCGGCACTCAGACGTGCTATTATAACTACACATCCAAGTCAGAGAGAAAGACTTACATTTGCTTCCTACCATAGTTTATGTGAGGGAGCCGTGAAAATGAATGAGGGAGTCACTTTAAGGTAGGATAAATTCCAGAGATTCTGCGGGTCAAATTATTCACTACAAGAGAGTCTTCGAAATTCAGTCACCGTTTTCTTTCATTGTGTTTTATTATTTATTTTTATTCACGTATTCTTTTTGTATTTTTTTTTTTTTTTTTTTTTTTCTTTTGGTCTTTTTTTTTCCCGCTATTTATTTATTTATCTCGCTGATTGTGTTTAGACTTGCGGAGTCGAGAGAGTTTCTTATATATATATTTGGGGTCGGCTTACAGCCACAAATACCGAGTGTGTTGTACTCTAAGAACGGACTTGTTGACGATAGCGACTACTAAATTCAAAACAGCCTTTTCATCTTCTTGGCTGGTCAACTTCGCTTTTTTCTTAATAGACTTTCATTATTTTCAATAAATCATTCGACTTCTTAATTGTCGACGGTGAAGGATTTATTCCTTCATTTTTTCTCCTCTTATTCAAGTATGATTTCCTTTTTCATTCTTAACTTCTCCGTATATCTCTATCCTTCTCTCTCTCTCTCCCCTCTCTCTCCCCCCTCTCTATCTCTCTCTCTCTCTTTCTCGATTTTTGTCTTGTGCCAAGCTTACATATTTCACTCGTGACAAAAAAATTTATATTTTACGATATCAATATCTATATATATATATATATATATATATATATATATATCCCAATCGTGTCATGTTCTATCTCTCTATCTCTTTCTTTCTTTCTCTCTCTCTCTATCTATCTATATCAATCATGGCATTGGCCCATTATCTATCTATCTATCTATCTATCTATCTATCTATCATCTATTCATTTCTATCTATCTCAATCGTCTTTTCTCTCTCTCTCTCTCTATATATATATATATATATATATATATATATATATATAACTCAATCGTGGCATTATCTATCTATCGTTTGTCACTGCGCCATCTATCTATCTATCTATCTATCTATCTATCTATTCTATCTAATTTCCCATATCTCTCTCTCTATCTCTCTCCCTGTGTGTGTGTTTTCCCTTTGCTCTCCCTCTCTCTTTTTCTTTCTTCATACATATATATATATATACATGTTTACATTTTAGGCGTTTTTTGTCTGTTTTTGTTTGATTTTTCTTTTGGGGGGGTGTTTTTGTGTTTTTTTTTCCTAAGGAGGTAAGTTTCGATTTTTAGTAAAAAGCCCTGATCACTTGTCCGCACGTCCATTTTTCAGGACGATTGTCAGAGGTTTTTTTGGTAGTTGCGTCCTCTTCTTGTGCCAGCCATTTGTGTTCGAATCTGAATAAAATCTAGTTTCTTCTTTACTGAACGACTGTATTTACAAATCCACATATGTAAGGGAGTGATTTGTTTTGATCTCTTCCCAAATTCGCATCCGGGTCGTCCTAAACTTCCACGCTTCTCTCTTTATCGAAGAAATAAATCTTATAGGATTGTTCACACAATCTAAAATCCTTGTTTTTGATATTTGGGGATCAAATTATTGATGTCAAAAAGAATAGGATCGGCGATTTATGTTTTTAACCTCTTGGGATTTCATATTGACTGAGAAACGAATTATTTTTGCTGAATCATAAGCGATTTCTTTACAAAACCGCACCTATTATTTTTCCACGCCGTCTTCTTCTTCTTCTTCTTCTTCTTCTTCTTCTTCTTCTTCTTCTTCTTCTTCTTCTTCATTGTTTTTTTCTTTTTCTTCTTCGTATTCTGCTTCTTATTTTTTATTGTTGTTCTTCTTCTTTTTCTCTTTCTTTTTCTTTTTCTTCTTCGTATTTTGCTTCTTCTTTCTCTTCTTTTTCTTCTTCTTTTTCTTCTTCTTCTTCGACTTCTTCGGGTTCTTTATTTTCTGCATGTTTTTCTTATTGTTTTTTCTTTTTCGTCTTCGTATTCTGCTTCTTATTTTCTTATTGTTCTTCTTCTTTTTCTCTTTCTTTTTCTTCTTCGTATTTTGCTTCTTCTTTCTCTTCTTCTTTTTCTTCTTCGTATTCCGCTTCTCATTTTCTTCTTATTGTTCTTCTTTTTCTCTTTCTTTTTCTTTTTGTCTTTCTTTGTATTTTTCTTCTTCTTTCTCTTCTTTTTCTCCTTCGTATTCTGCTTCTTATTTTCTTATTGTTTTTTCTCTTTCTTTTTCTTCTTCGTATTTTGCTTCTTCTTTCTCTTCTTTTTCCTTTCTTCTTATTGTTTTTTTTTTTTCATTTTCTTTTTCTTCTTTGTTTTCGTTTGCTTCTTCTTTTTCTTCTTCTTCTTTTTATTTATTTATTTCTTTTTTTCTTCTTTTTCTCCCGGTTTTCTCGGTCCGAAAAACCTCATTGAGTGTTGTTGTCGTTTTCGTCAAACTCAACCTTTGATTGTCTCCCAATGCGCGATACACGCGGGGGCGGCTGACTTGATTCCATTTTATTCGTCCATTCTTTCTTTCTCATTCTGTCATTCGTTCTTCTTATTGTTTATTTTGTTTTATTTGCATTGAATTTTTCACTTTTTTTTCTTTCTTTTCTTTTCCTTTTCTCCTTTTAACTTTTGACTCTTTCTTCCTTTTTTTTTTTTAGCCTGTCCGATTTGTTTAAAAAAGAAAGAAAGAAAGAACAGCTTCTCTTCATTTTCTTTCCTTCTTTTTTTTAATTCTCTTTCTGTAGATTTCTTTTTTGTTCTTTCGAAATATCTTTTCTTTTTTCATTCTTCTTCTTTTTCTTATACTGATTTCTTTCTCTCCTTACTTTTTCTTTCTTTCTTAATCATTGTTTTCTTTCTTTTTCTTGTTTCTTCTTTCTTTCTTTCTCTTTTTCTTTTTTATGCATAGTCATGCGAAACAATGGCGGTTTATTAAAATCACATATGTAACAGTCATTTCCATTATTTGGGGTCATCAACATGCGGCTTTTTTCAATAAAATGCTACTATACACTATGTAGGATCATTTGAAACATCAATCTTTATATATATATATATAGATAGATAGATAGAGAGAGAGAGAGAGAGAGAGAGAGAGAGAGAGAAGAGAGAGAGAGGAGAAAGAGAGAAAGTGTGTGTGTGTGCGTGTGTGTGAATTAATATAAATATAAAGTATATCAGCTGTTTGGCGTTACCTCTAAGCGTCTCGACTCCAGAGTTTCGTAGACGGAGACAACCCACTCCCCAGCAATCCCTCTGGGTACCTCGACGTGTAATAGTCAGCAAAAAGAAAAGAAACAAGGAGAAAGAGAAAAGTAAAAAAAAAAAAGAAAAACAACAACAAAGGCCTGCCTAAGTGATAGGCCCAAAGTGCTCAATGCTTCTAGCAAGTAGATCAAGACAGAATAGTAACACTGAACAACGAAACCGCACAGAAACCCGGAAAAAAGATGCTACAAAGGCAAATTAAGTTACCTCCCTTGGATAACGTTAAGTTTTTAATTAACAGAACACGTTCATGCGTCTTTATAATTATAACAGCGCGGATCATGCACATTTACAAAAAAATCACACCTATCAATAACATTATTTTTTTTTTGACTTAGCACTTCACCTCTGAAGATGATTTTGGATGAGATTGAAAGTACTTGGGAAAATAAAAGAAATGAAAAAACTACGGCGCCTTCCTTAATGAATTTAATAATATCATTAAGAAATTTATCTGTGAATTTGAGATGATTAGAATAAAAATAGACATAATATGTTTAGATTATTCAACCAAACATGCTTGAATGAAGAAATGCTTCCTAAATGTATATATATATATATATGTGTATATATATATATATATATATATATATATATATATATATACACACACACACAAACATATATATATATATAGAGAGAGAGAGAGAGTTCGCCCCAAGAAAGGCAGTAAAGATATACAGACGCAAGGGGTTACTAGGTGTGGAAGTATTCGAAAACAGAAACTTTACTAAGGAGCAAGAACAAAAGAAGATTAATCAGGAAGATTGACATTGCATTTAATTCTTTGAAGATTAAAGTTGGTTGGAAAGCATGGAGACGGAAGGGAGTTCCACAAGCGATACGTGCAAGAAAAGAAACTGCTAGCATAGAACTTATGGTTAGATCTAACCAACTCAACTGTCAATTGATGAGATCTAGACGCCAGTCGAGTACTGCGCATAAATGCAAAAAGCTTAGGTATCATAGCAAAGAGTACATCGGGACAATTATCATGAACGTATTTATAGAAAAGGCACAGGGAGGCAACCTTAACAGAATGCAGAAAGCACTGGACGGCGGTTTCGTAACGATCCAGGTTCGATTCTCGCTAGTGGGTACGCACTGCTGATGAGTCCCAAAAAGGACGAAACGGCCGTACAAAAAAAAAATAAAATAATTAAGACATGCGTGTCCATAAACCTTAAACAATAATCTTTATCAATTTTATTTTTCAGTCTTTATGATGGTCGATACTTGATCTATCTCTTACTGTTACATCTCCGGGCAACGCCGGGCTCTACTGCTAGTATATTTATATAATGTTTTCATTTTTCAAAACACGGTCAAGATTATGTGTCCGTGTTCATAGTTGATATTAAGTGTTGTTTTGTTTTTATCAATAAGACTTCCATTATTTTTTTGCATGTAGATTATGCTATTATATATATATAATATATATTATATAGGTGGAAGGTCATATATATATATATATATAGGTAGGTATGTATAACCAGCCACCTTTCTTTTAAACATCTTTCATTAAATATGGTAGACAAGGAAGATTTAATTACTTTTTTATTTAGTTTTTCCAGCATCCTTTCGTTTTTCCAGTTTTGTAGGTGGAAGGGAATGCAGAAATTTTACATAATTTTCATTGTCCAAGCGCTTTCGTCTACTGCGTTAGCCATTTTCAAGGGGGTTTTGTCTTTGGTGTTAGTCTTTCCTCTTTAAGCGGTAGTTTATTTTTTGTTGTTTTGAATATGAGCGTTTATTCCGAGCCTCCGAATGTTGAGCGCGACTGGAATTCGCGTGAGCGTCTCTCTATTTTCAAAAACACTTTTAAAACTCCATTCCCACTGTTAAATAAGGTGAGGTTGATAGTAGGAGAGAGATGTTTAATATACAGGGCCTCTCTAATAGGAAGGTGTTTATCATACCCAGAAATAGGTTCAGCTACAACTTCGATCTAAAGAATGCCACAGTTATTAAAAGAGAAGCTAACTTAGACGGAAAATTCTTGAGAGTGCCGCTACTGAAACTTGCCAAAATGTAAATCTGCAACCTGAATCGTTTTTGAAATATCTCCACTCCTGAAAGAATTACACCTTTCTCCGAGACAATATACATGAACAAAAAAAATTAAAAAATTAAAGAAAGACGGTTAAATTCAAAACATTCCATTATTTAAAATAAATACATAACATAAATAAATACACAAATATTTTATCAAATTAAAATAAAAAATATAATTACATTATAAATATTAATATACATATATATATATATATATATATATATATATATATATAGAGTATATATACATATATTATCAGTGTTTATATAAATATATAAAAAATAAAAATATAATTACATTATAAATATTAATATGCATATCAGTGTTTATATATATATATAAAAAATAAAAATATAATTACATTATATATATATATATATATATATTATCAGAGTATATGTATATATTATCAGTGTTGCCATATTAGTAAAAAAACGCTGTCTCTTAAATTTTCAAAAAATTCAACCTTAGCGTTGCGACTGCACACTCCAAAAGCTTGTATCCTTTAACAATAACACATTTAAAAAAACATATTTCGATTCGCATTTAATTTTTCGTCTCGGATGCTACCTGGATTTTATCAAAAACAAAATAATTTCCATTCCTGAAGATGACTGAATGTACAGTTGAAAGGACTTGCGTATTTAAGGAAGACCTAATATAGTTTATAATTTTAAAAAACAAGGATCATAGCATTCATTTAGTGATTAGTGAGTTAATGCACCTTTAAAATTTTGTTAGCAAAGGGATTTCACCATTTTATATCATTAACTTTCCTAATTTACTTTTTGTATGAATGATTCATTGTAATATAAATTGAACTGCACCACATATTTGATATATATATTTGTATATATATATATGTGTATATATATATATATATATATATATATATATATATATATATATATATATATATATTAAATATATATATATATATATATTTAAACATATATTGTTAAATATAACAGACAATGAATGTCTATTATGTTTGATCATGGTTGGTTTAATTTCAAGAGAAAATAAAGACAAAAATTGTCCAACATTTGGATATTATTTTATTATGATGTTTCTTGATCTAAGCTTTCGACTCACATGAGACATCGTCAGTGTTGTTATGCTCTAAAGATGGTTCATGTAACTCGAAAGAGATCAAGAAATTGCAGTCACAATCACTAATATACTATATATATATATATATATATATATATATATATATATATATATATATATATAATTCTGGCGTTGTTTACATACGTTTGGCTCGAGTAATCATGCGCGGAAGTTTCACTTGTCTTGATTATTGTGCACGCAATGCGCATATTTAAAAAGAGCAAGATTATTTACAAAATAAAAAAAAGCTAGAAAGGAATTAATAATAACAAGAATAAATTTAAGGTTCAAATATGTTTTATTATTATTTAACCAAGAATTCATTATTATTACAGCTTCACTATAAAAAGATTTCTATAAAAAGCTTCACTATAAAAAGCTTCCCTATAAAAAGCTTCACCATAAAAAGCTTCTCTATAAAAAGCTTCACTATAAAAAGCTTCACCATAAAAAGCATCTCTATAAAAAGCTTCTCTATAAAAAGCTTCACTATAAAAAGCTACTCTATAAAAAGCTTCACCATATAAAGCTTCTCTATAAAAAGCTTCTCGATAAAAAACTTCACCATAAAAAGCTTCACTATAAAAAGCTTCTCTATAAAAAGCTTCACTATAAAAAGCTACTCTATAAAAAGTTTCACCATAAAAAAGTTATAAAAAGCTACCATAAAAAGCTTCACCATATAAAGCTTCTCACTATAAAAAAAACTTCACCATAAAAAAAGTTTCTATAAAAAGCTTCTAAAAAGCTTCACTATAAAAAGCTACTCTATAAAAAGTTTCTCCATAAAAAGCTTCACTATAAAAGCTACTCTATAAAAAGCTTCTAAAGCTTCTCTATAAAAAGCTTCTCGATAAAAAACTTCACCATAAAAAGCTTCACTATAAAAAGCTTCTCTATAAAAAGCTTCACTATAAAAAGCTACTCTATAAAAAGTTTCACCATAAAAAGCTTCACTATAAAAAGCTACTCTATAAAAAGCTTCACCATATAAAGCTTCTCTATAAAAGCTAAAAAAACTTTACCATAAAAAACTTCACTATAAAAGCCATAAAAAGCTTCACTATAAAAGCTTCTCTATAAAAGTTTCACCATAAAAAGCTTCTCTATAAAAAAAGTTTAAAAAGCTTCACCATAAAAAAGCTATAAAAAGCTCGATAAAAACTTCATAAAAAGCTTCTCTATAAAAAGTTTCACCATAAAAAGCTTCTCTATAAAAAAAAAGCTTCACTTCACTATAAAAAGCTTCACCATAAAAGTTTCAAAAGCTTCTAAAAAACTTCACCATAAAAAGCTTCACTATAAAAAGCTTCTCTATAAAAAGTTTCACCATAAAAAGCTTCTCTATAAAAAGCTTCACTATAAAAAGCTTCTCTATAAAAAGCTTCACCATAAAAAGCTTCTCTATAAAAAGCTTCACTATAAAAAGCTTCTCTATAAAAAGCTTCACTATAAAAAGCTTCTCTATAAAA